AGATAGATAGATAGATAGATAGATAGATAGATAGATAGATAGATAGATAGATAGATAGATATGGATACATGGATGGATAGATAGATGATAGATAGATAGATAGATAGATAGATAGATAGATAGATAGATAGATAGATAGATAGATAGATAGATAGATAGAATACCAGTCACCTGACAGACTTTATCAATCTTATATTTAGATATTATTCATCATTCAGAACAAAACCCTGCCATTAAAACTATATTAAGGAGCTAAGCCCCCCCTTTTTTAATTAAAATTCAGATCCCGCTAAGCTCTCTTGAGGCAGGAGAGCCTTAGCCTTAGGTTCCTCGTGGCTTACTTTTTCCCTGTGGTATGTGTCCCTCGGCAGAAACGAAAGAATGGGGTCTCCAGTTGTCGAAGGTTTCCACCAGGGATTCAGTTAATTATTGTGGAGACATTTGCTGTCTCCGCTTCCGGTCACAGTTGTTTTCCCAACTCTTTGAGCTGGTCTTAGTCAAAGAATCCCCTGCTATGAATGCCTATCCCATCCTTCTCTTCCTGACCCCTTGGGAGATTTCTCTGTCCTTCCATTTCCTTTTGCTGCGGCTAAGCATCTGCGATGACAAAAGGCTCTTGGAACATCCAGCGTTTGTTCAAAGGGGTTGCTAGGATTAGCCACGGCCAAGCTGCTAAAGGGCTAGTAGTTCAAGTCTGCCTGTCTCTTACTTGAGATTGCAGCCTCGGTCTGGCTGCTCCTCAAAACTTGATCCTCTGTCATGTGGCTGGTGACTCCCCAGCCTTACCAGCCTGTCTCTGAGGACTTTGGATGCGGGTTAGAAGCAAGAAACTACAGACAAAATGATTCCGTTGAAGCTTTAATTCAAATTGATCAGTTCGCTTGGCTTCTTATTTATTTAACCACCTGTCTTTTAACCCTAGTGCAGGGGTAGGCAACCTGGGCTCTTTTATGACTCGTGGACTTCAACTCCCAGAATTCCTGAGCCAGCCATGCTGAGGGGAAAGGGAGAGGTTTCCAAGCTGAGCCATGCTGGCTCAGGAATTCTGGGAGTTGAAGTCCACGAGTCATAAAAGAGCCAAGGTGGCCTACCCCTACCCTAGGCTGATTTTTATTTATTTAGATAGATAGATAGTTTTTGTTCCACCTCTACTATTTAAAAAAGTAACTCAAGGCAGCAAACAGGCCTGTTACTCCTCTCTTCCTCCTATTGGGGAAACCACAAAAAACACTGTGAGGTGGGCTGGCCTGAGAGAGAGAGTGACTGGCCCAAAGTCACCCAGCTGGCTTTCATGCCTAAGGTGAGACTAGAAGTCACATACGCCTAGCGATCAGCCCAAAGTCAGCCAGTTTCATGCCTAAGGTAGAAAGAGGTAGAACTAGAACTCGCTGTTTCCTGGCCCTTGAAAGCCAGTCACCCAGCTGGCTTTCATGTCTAAGGCGGGACTAGAATTCACTGTCTTCTGGTGATTGGCCCAAAGTCACCCAGCTGGCTTTCATGCCTAAGGTGGGACTAGAACTCACCATCTCCTGGTAATTGGCCCAAAGTCACCCAGCTGGCTTTCATGTCTTAAGGTGGGACTAGAACTCACCATCTCCTGGTGATTGGCCCAAAGTCACCCAGTTGGCTTTCATGTCTAAGGTGGGACTAGAACTCACCATCTCCTGGTGATTGGCCCAAAGTCACCCAGCTGGCTTTCAAGCCTAAGGCAGGACTAGAACTCACCATCACCTTGTTTCTAGCCTAGTGCCTGATAGTCGTGTTTTTCCCATTTCTTGGATTTCATGAATTTTTTTTCAGCAAGAAGAGCAGGCTACCTTCTCCATGGCCATTTCTTATTAATGATTTTTTTTTCCCCAGGAGAAATTAGCTTACCATCAGAACAGCAGCCAAGCACTTCACCCTGGACTTTATCTGGGTTACCTGAAGCTCTGCAGCGCAGTTGACCAGATCCGAGTACTGGTGCCTGAACAATTACCCAACATCTTATGTCATGTGAAAATACGGAGCAATCCCAACATATCTCGGTAGGACTTTCGAATGAGAGCTGATTTTTATTGGCGGCCCTTCCAAACGGTCGTTCTACATCTGTAGCCAGATTAGGCTGAGCTGAGATATATTCTTTTTGCAAGTTCATCTCCTGGCCAAAACAAAACAGCAAAGCGGGGAGAGAGACCCAAGACAAAGTTATAGAAACTGGGCCGATGGTTTGCCTGCAGATTTGCTTGGAAATTTTAAAACCAAATATAGCCAGGTCACGAATTGTGCATATACGATGCGAAATATAGGTTGCCTTTAATTTAGGATCGTGATGGAGCCTGGCCATCAGGACAGTAACTTGACTAACTTGATTTTACAACACTTTTTGAGGTGGTTGTTAAATGAACCCAACCAGCCGTAAACCAAACCAGTGATTTGTTATGGGCATGGTTTTACCCAAAAAACTTGGAAATAACTGCCAAGTTTCCACACAACCACTGCAAAACACAGTCACGTGAAATCAGAATGCTGCAAGCAACCGTAAATGCAGTTCAGTTGCCAAGTGCCTAATGTTTGGTCCTGTGAATGCAAATAACCAGGAGCCTTCATTGAGTTCAAAGCACAGGAGAGTTTATTATAGCTACCCATATACAAGAATCTGGTCAACCAATGGTCAAATCTAAATTGCCACTCAATAAACGTGAACGGAATTCACAGGAGGCTGGACTTGAGTCTCTTGTGGCAATGCAAGGATTCCAAACTGATGACACATTTAACCCCGCCTTCCAGCTCAGCGTGCTCTGGTGGTGTGGGGGAGTGGGATCTTAGCTTTGAATCTGGATCTTAAGTAGTTTAAGTGACTGGCTGTAAGTTGAGGATTACCTGCATACCAGTGATGGCGAACCTTTTAGAGACCGAGTGCCCAAACTGCAACCCAAAACCCACTTATGCATCATTGGGTGCCGGGTGGGTGTGGCCCATTAGGTGGGTATGACCCATTGGGTGGGCGTGGCTGCAGTGGTAACAGCAGACTGGGTGGGACTAAAAGGTTCAATCCATCAGTTCCAACTTTGTAAGATCTTTTTTTTTTTCCCACGAGAAGTTGAAATTGACTGATTGGTTGAACCTTTTTTTTTTGGTACACGGTGGCGGAGGCCTAAAGCGAAAAGGTTTTATAAAACCCAGCTGAAGGCCTAGGACTGGGGCGACGGCGTGTGTGCCCACAGAGAGGGCTCTGACTGCTGCTTCTGGCACCCGTGCCATAGGTTCGCCACCACTGCTGTATACAATTAATGGAATGGAATATCAATTGCACTAGTTAAGCAAAAGGGTCGTCTGCTGCTTGAAGTATGAAAGTACCAACACTACAATGCCCATTGTTTGTATCTACGTGTCTATGGTGGATATGGAGGCATTTACTTCCCTGATTTCCTCTCTGCATTTATCCGTTCTCCCACATTCAAGAGAGGAATGGGAATGGCTGCAGATCCTGGCTAGCATGGAAGACCCCGTTCCCTCGGAGCAAGAACTGGAAACTTCTCAGCAGCTTTTTCTGCAGGAGCTCCAAGGGGCCATCAGAGAGTTGATGCAACTGGTCAACATCCCACTTCACGAGGTAGATCCTAGGTGGGAACCACGTTACGGGGGGTAGGCAGAAAGAAATATTGTGGATTTTATAGCATGTCTGAACCGGGTCCCATCTTATTCTTACGATCCACAACAATGAAGTTTAGGCAAAGGTCTTCTGAGGTCACAGCTATGAAAACCAAGGCTGAACCCAAGTTGACATCTTTCCAGTTTTGATGGAGATTCTTTTCAAGGCCACAGTGGCCCCGATCTTGGGCAAGTCAATCTTGTTGATGCCTCGTTGATATAAATGACCTGATATGAGTGCATTTAACAAATAGTCCAATTAACTCACATGTAAAAGGGTGTAAATTGTTGTCATGGGAACAACAACCCACATGTAACCCTCTCCTTGAGGGCTTCACATGAGGGACGTGAATCAAATAAATAAGTATGCATCTGTATATCTCTTAATGATTGGCAATGCCAGTAAGGCATGTCCTCAATTTTGGGGGAAAGTTAAATTATTAATTCAGCCGCATTTGCT